TGCCCCCTCATCCTGCCGCGGTGCGGGGTCTGCAGGGCTGGGGGAGCCAGGGTGGGCCCAACCCTGTGTCTCTGTCCCCCCCGTCGGCAGTGGTGGGGGGAGCTTCTGGCGGGGGATGGTCCTGGCTCAAGCGGTCACATCTCCTCTCTGTCCCCAGCTGAGAAGAAGGTCTCCAGCAGCCCCATGAAGGCGATGGAGGGAACTGATATGCTGAAGGCAGGTAGGTGCTGCCCTGGAGGAGCACCCGCTCCCTCCTGCCCGCTGGCTTCCCCCCCAGCCTGCTGCCCCTGCAGCCCTGCTGCTGCTCCACCGCTAGATGGCTTTCCAGACCCAAGGCACAGAACATCCTATGTTTGCAATCAGAGGGTTTGTTTCTGCTTTGGCCCCCACTGCTGGTTCGGGGCCCTCCCCTGGCCTCCTGTTCCATGTCTCTGCTCTGGTTCATCCTTCACCCCTTGCTCTGTTTGCGGCTTCTCACTCACGGGAAGGGGAGCAGAGCGTGGGCTGCAGCATGGCTGACCCCTCCGGTGCTTGCCTGGTGACAGCTCAGACCAGGCTGTGGCACCAGCGCTGGGCAGAGCCCGTCCTGGGTCCTTGGAGCAAAGTGTCACCACTGGGCTGAGGTGACCCTGGAGCTGGCGGGACTGGCCAGGAGTGATGGAGATGCCGAGGATCACCTTCCCTGGAGGGGCCACCCCAGTGCCAGGACCCTCACTGGGGGATGCCCCCTCCTGCAACCCTGAGCCTGGCTCCAGCCCAGGCCCCGCGGCCGGCACCGCTCACCGGCTGGACAGACGGACACGGCGCCAATTGCCACGGTGCCTCCGGGGCCTGTGCCTGGGGGCGAGATGCTGCTGTCAGTGCCGGGTGGGGACAGCCCCGCGGGTCCCGGTAGTGCTGTGCCTGGGATGCTACACCTGTCTCTGCCATTCACCACTGGTCGCTGCTGCCTCGCTAACACCGCTGAGCACCGCGCCTGCCTGCTGAGCAGGGGCTGGGGAGGGCCAGGGCTGCCATAACGTGCTGTCCTTTGTGTCCCAGCCATGTACTCAGTGGAGATCACGGTGGAGAAGGACAGAGTGACTGGGGAGACCAAGGTCCTGTCCAGCACCACGCTGCTCCCCCAGACCCACTGTCCACAGGGGGTCAAAGTGTACGAGGATGAGCTGAAAGGTATGGCCTGGCCCACAGCACTCGCCGGCATCAGGCTGTCCCCGAGCATCCCGGCAGCTCTGGGCAGGGAAGTGGGGCCACTCCCAGCTGGCCTCGGCAGCTCCAGGGACCTGCAGGGCATCCCCACGCTGGCCCCAGCCCTGCCCCACCAGCCCAGCATGGGGCCCATCCTGGCAGCGTGGTGCAGACAAGTCCCTGGTTTGCACATCGTGACCTCATGGCACCGGAGAGCGGAGAAGAGGATTTGCTGTGTCCCTGACCAGGGAGCCTGTCCCATGAGTGGGGGATGTGGCACCAGCACCATGTTGGCCTGCCTGGCAAAGGGGAGTGTGGCTGCAGCCATAAGGACCAGTCCGTACTTTTGGGAACCTGCTTCAAAGGGTCTGCTGACACCTGAGGGATGGTGTGTTGCTGGCAAGGATCAGCCATGGAGCTGGGGAGCATTACTGGGGACTCTGGTGGTTGAGTGGACCTATTCCCTGAGGAAGTGCCGCTGTGTCAGCATCCCGTCCTGTCCAACACCCATGGCTGGGCTGGGCCAGGCTGAGCTTCACTGTCACCAGCTGCCAGGCACAGCCCCAGCTGCTCCAGGACTCCCCACCTCATGGATGGGCCGAGGAGCCGTCACAGCAGCGCCCGGTCCAGGCCGTGTGTGTCGGTCCTGGCCACACTGTCACCAGCTGGGCTGGTGGCCACCCGTCAGGCTGCCGGCCGCCGGGGCTGATCACGGTGGGATGCCCCAGGTCAAGAGGGAAACGCAATGAGCCGGAGGCAAAGCGCACGGGCAGCAGAAGAGCCTTGTCCTCTCCCGGGCACCGGGTGCCATGGGCAGCAGAGCACACCAGGATGCTGTGGG